CTGTTGTTATTGTTATGAAGTGCCATCGAGTTGGTTTGGGCCCATAGAGACCCTGCATAGGGTTTCCAAAGAGCAGCTGTAGAGGTCTTCAAATCTTTCAGCAGGGCCCCTGGGATAGTTCCACATGCAGAAGAACAGGGCAAGGAGTGCAGGCTGAGTCCAGCAGCCCCAGGTGACTAATGAACTTGTCTAATTGTCAGCTCACCCATCTGGAAATAGCCAGGATCCAATGACTATACACAGGAAGCAACTAGCACGGGGTCTGGCTTGTTGTAGTAGAATTCCAAGTGCTAGACCCTAGGGCCCTGGGACAGCTCCTGGTTCCTGGTCTCAAGAGGACCATTTCTAATGCCTGACATCATACCCTTAGGAAGGTCTGCACAGCAGGCATGGCAAAGAGCACCAGTCTGGGCAGCAAGGGTCCAAGAAGGGAGGCAGGAGGGTGTTACTTCAGGGAAGGAGACGTGGTCATGCTTCTACCGAGTGCCCTTGCACAGAAGGGAGACACTGGGAAATGTAACCCAACTCCTGCCTGCCAGGTACTGATCCCAGAAGCATCAGCAATCTGGGATCATGGAGACCAACACCTATAACTACAATAAGACCAAAGCCAAAGTGTTCAACACCTGTAAATGCCAGCAGTGGAGAGAGAGGGAAGCCACAGGGAGCTAGAGGATTCCAGCTGAGATGAAGAGGGCGGTAAACACTGTCCACACAGGGCACTGAGCGGAGTGTGGTTAGGAGGCAGGACTGCACCCCAACCTCTGGCAGACCCATCACTGGGAGCCATCTGGTCACCCCACTGGTCTGGTAATGACAGAGGCCTGGGGTTGTCTCCTGGAATGGCCAGCTACCTGCTGTGTGAACACGCAGCTGGGATTTAGTCTCAGGCCCTCCGAGTTCTTGTGTGTAAGATGGGGATGATGACTAGTTTGCTGGGCTGCCATTAAGATCCACACTGCGTGCACACAGGGAGCTCCATAAACATCTGTGCCCACCCTGCTGCCTTTGCATGGGCCCAGACTCAAAAGGTTCCAAAGAGACCTAGAAAATAAAATACTTGTAGGCACACACACCACAACTGGAGTCCTGGTGGCGCAATGATTAAGTGCTTAACTGCAAATGGAAAGGTCAGTTGTTCAAACCATGCAGTAACTTTGTGGGGAAAATGACCTGGTCAGGTGCTCCTGTAAAGATTTCCGTCTAGAAAACTTTCTGCAGCCATTCTATGCTGTCACACAGGGCTCTAGGCGTTGAAATGGACTCAATGGCATCTAAAAACAGCACACCATGTTCAGTGGACTAGCAGATTCAGACCTACTTAGTGCTTGCTCCCTTTGGGTTCACAAGTAAAAACCCTTTGAGATCCTAAAAGAAGAACAAGCCCCGACCCAGGTTACAGGTGGTAGGCAGGATATCAGCACCACTACTTCGTATCTCTGACTCTCAATCCATCTGGGTGGAGGTTGGTCATGTAGATTGTGATCGGCAGGGTGGGGGTGGGTCTCTTATAAAAACCAACCAAAAACTCAAAAAACTCAACGGAAACAGACCACATCACAGAGAGGTGCTGGTAGACCTTGTTGTTGAGCATATAGCTCAACTCTGGCACCAACGCCAACAGAGCATCTCTTCTGGTGAGTCATTTGTCATCTTCTTTGTACTTAATAGAAGGAAGGAGAGAATGAACCCCTTAAGGGGCGCTGGGATTCCTGCCTGAAGTCAAAACCCCAGGCGGAACTGTTGATATGAGAGTTAGGGTTAAATTAGAGAAATGCAAAAACTAGTCAATATAGTTCTGGCACAAAGTGAGTGCTTGTAAGCAAATCGTACTAGTGGTAGGGGCACAATCCGACCCACCCAGTGAGACGAGGAGAGCCCAGTCACCGTCTGCACTCGTTTATCACATTATCTGTCTGTTTACCTTTCCTTTAGCACTTTGTAAGACAATCCATTATCTCACAGTATTGTTTCTTTTCTGTAGAAAATTTGGAAACTCTATAATTTGGTCATTTCAGCCAGTATCATCCAGTCTATCAGGGATTTTTATACAATGGTTCATACCATACATGACACAGGGATTCAAGGGATTCCTGACCCCTTAAACTGCAGGTGTGTGTGTTTGTGTGTGAAACCATTACTTCTAACTAAAGGAAAGGACCACAGGTTTGATGGGATTCTCTAAGGGGTTTCTGATTTTAGAAAGCTTAAGAATCAGGATTGGCTTTCTATGTTTCTTGTCATCTATCATTGTAATAGTAATAGCTAATCCTTATTTGCCATATTTACTTTGTGCTTACACTGTTCTGAGCAATTTAAATATATTAATTTAAATTTATATTTAAATTGAAAAAATTTCCCCAAATCATTAAATGCTCTTACTAAATAACTCAACTGTATTCTATTTTATGTCTGGATTATAATTTGCTTCACCATTTATTATCAGACATTTAGATTATTTCCAAAGTTGTCTATATTACTTCTTTCAGAAATCAACTTTAATGCCTAAGACTTTGATTATAGAAGGTAACTAAAGGATTTGACCATTTTCTGTAAGGAAAAGTAGTTTTTAATATTTTATCTACACAGAAAGGTGCTCTGGTAGCATAGTGGATAATGAGCTGGGCTACTAACCAAAAGGTCAGTGGTTCAAATCTACCAGTTACTCCATGGGAGAAAGATGAGACTTTCTGTTCCCATAAAGATTTACAACCTTGGAAATCCTCTGAGTTATAACCAACTCGGTAGCACACAGCCAACACCATCTGCACAGAAATGTCATCTGCAGTTAATAATAGTCTATTTTACCGGTGATTACAAATGAACTTGCACGAGTCCTTTGGGGAACTGTGTAACTGCTAATGCTAGTGTGTGTAAGGGTCCAGCAACACTCAAAAGCAAACACCTGTTTCATCTATTAAATGATGGAAAAATGGCCTTATTCCAGTGTAAAACAATACACACCCACATTCCCATTTGACCTACCTAATCTAGCGCCCCAGAAACCAGGCACTATGCCTACTGACTGACCTGCCTGCTTAGAGATCGAACAAGATCGAACATTTTGTGGATGAGGGGCAGGAATACTCACTGAGTAGTCATTATCTCAAAGGCAGGGGTCTCCCTTGATGGAGACCCCAGGAAAGACTGAGACAGGCAGCACGAGGGTGGACATTGTCTCTAGTCAGGATTCCAGGTCTCAAAGAGAAAAGTACCCGAGCAGATTGCAAAGACGGGAGGACTTAACCTTTTAATGTCCTTCTCTGGACAGTCAATACGTGGACTTTGCTAAATTTTGCAGGTGTTCTGTCTAAACATCTGTTTTTAGAACATCCTGAAGTGCTGGGGATCCTGGCAGAGGGCCCCTGGAAAAGGACAATTGCATGTTGAGCATCTGCAGGCAGGGGGCGACTGCACATTGAATATCTTGGTAATCTAAGAGTGATGCTCTATGTCACCTCGATGTCCTGTTTGTGACCCTCAGCACGGCCACAAAGAAGAAAGGTCAGAGAAAGCAAAGACCTTGAAGGACCGGCCCAGAGGCCCAGGCAAAACAGGCAGCCACTGGATCTGGATCTTTGTTACAATCTGCCGTGCAAGGCTGGTCACCTACCTCATGGAAATAGCCCACCTGTCTAGTGCTCCATTTGAACTGGGGCTTCTATTTGTTAAAGGAGACCCCTACTCAGTGAATCACAAAAGCTAGAGCAATGTCCCTCCATCTAAGGAAACCTACCTCTTAGCCCTTTCAAGACTGAATTATTTTCTGCTTTGAATATTTTGTTGACATCTTGTGTTTTCAGTCATGGAAGGCATTTTGAATGATAAAAAAAACAAAAACCCACCATTTTTAGTTAATATGAATTTTGATATACTTAGTAAGGAGCTCTGGTAGCGTAGTGGTTACGAATCGGGCTGCGAACCTTAAGGTCAGCGGTTCGAAACTACCAGCCGCTCCGCGGGAGAAAGATGAGGCTTTCTACTCCCGTAAAGATTTACACCCTCGGAAACCCTGTACAGGGTCGCTATGGGTCGGAACCGACTCAATGGCACTTAACAACAACAACAGTGAGACATCTGTCCTGAGGTCCCTGATGCTGGAGTTGGTGGGATGAGGCCTGTTCTTCAGCTTCAGTTACACAGGGTCACACCAGATGGCAGCACACACTAAAAATGAGTGAAGAATTTCCCACTACACTGCAGCAGTGGAAAATGCAGGTGGGCACTATATGTCCCATGGGTCTCAGAAGGGTAAAGAGACTCCTGGAGATCAAGAAGCCTTAGGAAAATGAAGTTCTGGTGGTGCAATAGCATAAACTCACACATGGCAGAAAGGAAACTTTGGGGTGGGGTTTGAGACCTGCCCACTTTCCTGGCCATGAAGGTGCCTGCTTGCCATGGGCTTTTCTCTGCCTTGTTTAGTCTGTGCATGTTGCCACCATCAGTTACCTTTTTTTGAAACCATGTGATTGAGGAGAAGAAAAGGCAGCTCGACCACTACCCGAGTAAAGAAGCCTAGTCATTCCCTACATCTCTCTTGGTCTCCTTGATAGCAGAGCCCCCCCGGAGGGCTGCTTGCTTTCACTATTAGCAGTTAAGGGGGCTAATTGTACAGGAAATGGAACATGGGATAGGTGGATAACTGTTATGATATGTGGGTAGGTAAAGAACAGTGCGGATCTTCCAAAAGGAATCTGTGCCTATTTAACCGGATTGGCGATCTTTGTTTTTACAACAATTTGGCATGGGGTTTATGGAATGTGTATGTGTGTCAATCATATGCAGTCTCCCAGACCAGTGGTCCTGAGACTCTTGGGGCTAATGAAGAATTCCTCACCCTGTCTAATTTCCCCTTAACTGAGCACAAGAGTGGGTGGGTTTAGGAGATGCTCACTACCTAAATGTGTTCAGCAGGGTAGTGAGAAGACCAGGAGTGCTACCCTTGGCTCCAAAGACAATAACTGCATTTTGACTTATAGGTGTTCATCAGAACAGACACCATGGAACATGATTATGAAGATCTCGGGTTTTTCACAACTTCCAATGACAGCAGAGAGGCGCATAACCACTTCCTGCAGTTCAGGAAGTTTTTCCTGCCCTGCATGTACTTGATGGTCTTCATCTGCGGCCTGGTGGGGAACTTCCTGGTGCTGGTCATATACATCTTCTATCACAAGCTGAAGAGTATAACAGACCTGTTCCTGATGAATCTGCCCCTGGCTGACCTGGTGTTTGTCTGTACTCTGCCATTCTGGGCCTATGCCAGCATTCATGGGTGGGTCTTTGGCAAGCCTATGTGCAAAATCCTGTTGGGCATCTACACCTTGAACTTCTACACATCCATGCTCATCCTCACCTGCATCACTGTGGACCGTTTCATTGCAGTGGTTCAAGCCACCCAGGCCTACAACCAGCAGGCCAAGAGGATGATCTGGGGCAAGGTCACCTGCGTGGGCATCTGGGTGGCCGCCCTCCTAGTCTCCTTGCCACAGATCATCTACGGACATGTGGTTTCTCGTGATGAGATCATCTGTGAATACGAAGATGAGAAAATTTCCACAACAGTCCTTGCTTCCCAGATGACACTGGGGTTCTTCCTGCCACTGCTCACCATGATTGTCTGCTACTCAGTCATCATCAAGACCCTGCTTCATGCCCACAGCTTCCAGAAGCATAAGTCTCTAAGGATCATCTTCCTGGTGGTGGCTGCATTTCTGCTGACGCAGACACCCTTTAACCTCGTGAAACTCATCCTCAGCACGAGCTGGGAGTACCGCACCATGACCAGGTTTCACTATGTCATCATAGTGACGGAAGCCATTGCCTACCTGCGGGCCTGCCTTAACCCTGTGCTCTATGCCTTTGTGGGTCTGAAGTTTCGGAAGAACTTTAGGAAATTTGTGAAGGACATGGGCTGCCTCCCTCACCTGGGGGTCTTAAGTCAATGGAAGTCTGAGGACACTTCCAGGATTAGTTCAGCCTCCCACAATGCAGAGGCTACCAGCATGTTCCAACTGTAGACCATGCCAAGGCTTAGAGAAGAGGTTCAGGAATTTATAAGAGACCGGCTGTATACTCTGGATGAGATGAGGAAGGCTTTGTTTATAGCTGCACATTCTCATGGAAAAGCAATCAAACATTGCAGCTTGTTTGGAATGCTTCTTCTAAGGTATGGACATAACTCTGTTCTCTTCTTGAACACTCAGGCCTGAAGCTTATAAGGGCTTTTCATCTTTTATCCCCTTGGACACCAATATCAAGAGAATGAACATGAGCCTCTTAAGATCTCAGGTTCTCCTTCACTGGGACTGGATGTGAAGGTTGAAGAGAGGAGCACAGCCAGAAAAGTTACTGACAGAGGGCGATACTCGGGGCTCCCAATTTCAGAAGATTCTTCTGGCTACGAAACACGCAGAAATGATTAGAGCAGTCATGAAAATACCACAGGTCCACACAGCTCCAACGTCAATCAGTTGGTCCCTTATAAGAGTGAGCTCAGGTCTTGTCTCACCATAAGGTGAGATGTGGTGAACACAGGGAGACATCAATCAGGGTTCTGATTTACATGTTATTGTTCAGTCAGTTCTGAGTCATAGCGACCCTGTGTAGGGTTTCAGGAGGAGTGGCTGGTGGGCTTGAACTGCTGAAGGAGATGTTTATGTTATTTTTGTTTACTCCTGGAAGGACTAGCACTGAGGAATGTAAATGAGTCAACACAAATCCCAGTGGTCCACAGAATGCTTGAAAAATGTGCAAAGTAGAGCTTACAGCTATCAATAATTTTAGCATTTCTGACAGGAACTCTTTAAAAATGGAATTATTCATTACTTGCCACACATACACACACTTGTATATACATACATATAACAGCATATGATTTTCATGACTAAGAAATAAAAGTAGACCTCCAAACTACTTTTATCCTTTGTTGTTGTTAAGTGCTGTCGAGTCGATTCCAACCCATAGTGACTCTGTATAGGGTTTTGAAGAGCAGCTGGTGAGCTTGAACCACTGACCTTGCAGTTCAAATGGCTTTGCAGTGTGGCACATTAACCCAGAGTGCCACACTTTTATCCTTTTTTAAGTTGTTAAGAGTCGTCGAGTTGATTGCGACCCATAGCGACCCTGTATAGGGTTTCCAAGGAGCAGCTGGTGAGCTTGAACCACTGACCTTGCAGTTCAAACGACTTTGCAGTCTAATGTATTAGCCCACAGTGCCACACCAGGACTCCACTTTTATCCTTAGGTGCCTTCTATTTTGTTATGCTTGGAATACACCAAAAACGGTTCTTTGTAAGTTTGTTGTTGTTAAGTACCGTGGAGTTGGTTCCGACTCACAGTGACCCTGCACAGGGTTTCCAAGACTGCAAATCTTTATGGGAGCAGAAAGCCTCATCTTTCTCTTGCAGAACAGCTGGTAGTTTCGAATTGCTGACCTTGAGGTTAGCAGCTTGATTTGTGACCACTACGTTACCAGAGCTCCTTTAGCATAGGAAATAAGTTGAAATAGTAAACTTTCAGGGTACTGTTCTATCAAGGAAATGAAATCTACCAGTGATAAGAACCCAGCTCCTTCACTGTGGCTTCCAAACTGCTGTCCAAATATAATAAAGTACATTTGTTTACGGCCTATAGTGTGGTGACAGGACGTGGCTTTGTCTTAAAGACCAGGCATATATATACATCTTCAGTAGATCCTGGCAATCTGCTCAAGAGGTATAAATAAGCCTTTTGGGTTCATGCACTGCAAAATCACTCACTGAAATGTTGTTATTAGGTTCCATTAAGTCGGTACCAACTTACAGTGACCCTATGTCCAATAGAACATTAACACTGCCCAGTCCTCTGCCAACCTTATAATCATTGCTACGTTCGAATCCATTGTTGCTGTTACTGTACCAATCCATCGCCTTTGGGGGGGGGGGAAGTCTTCCTCTTTTTCTCTGACTCTCCACTTTATCAAATATATTTTTCCAAGGATTGGTCCCTCCTGATAATATGTCTGAAGTATGAGAAACAAAGTCTGGCCATCCTGGTTTCCAAGGAGCATTCTGGCTGTACTTCTTCCAACACAGACTGGTTTGTTCTTTTGGCAGTCCACGGTATTCTTTTAATATTCTCCTCTAACACCAAAATTCACTGAAATTGGGAGAATCAACTGACCATCATTAAAGAGCATGTACACAGCGATGGGCTAGGAGTGGCTGAGCGGTGTGCTTTGGGGGCTTGGACAGACCAGGATTGCATCCCAGCTCAGCCACTAACCAGTTGGCAGAATGCTGAGTAGATGTAACCTCTGACCACCTGCTTTTCTTCTGGGGAAACATGATCATCAGAGTACCCACATCTCAGGGATGGTATGAAGATGACTTGAGATAATGCACTAAAAGCAGCTTGCATTTGTGGGTAGAAGGGCTTCCAAAAGCGGCAGTGGTTTTCATTATTTTTAAGAACCAGTGATACAGAATGGAGGCCTCAATCTCATTTCCTGTGGGATAGCAAGATGAGGGAGCCAGGGTTGGCTTCGTGCTTTCTGTGGCATGCCCACTGGTCCAGCTGAGCACAGGGAGGGCCTTGTAGGGCTCACACAATCCTACCTACTGTGTCAGAACACTCAAACCCAACGCATCGCCATCCTGTCAATTCCAACTCAAAGCAACCCTAGCTGACCGAGGAGAAGTGCTCCCTAGGGGTTCTGAGGCTGTACATGTTTATGGGTGAGGGCAGCCTCATTTTCTCACATGGAGTGGCTGATGGGTTTACACTGCTGAACTTGCAGTTAGTGGCCCAACTGATAACCCACTACACCAAACTGATCATCTAAACACCCCTCCAAGCATCTACGAGAGCTCATTTACTGTATTTGAGCCACAGGAGCCACCCGGAGCTGCCTCAAACAAAAAGATCTACCCTTCTCCTGCTGATAAGGTTGACATTTCACTTCCAATTGGCTTCTGAGATGAAGTCTATGACCCCGCCTGTGGATTCAGCACTTCTGCTGGAGGGCCACCAGCTGCTCGCTTTCCTGACGGTGTCCCAGGCCATGAGGCAGAGGTTCTGACTGGAGAAGGAAGTAGCTAGGAGTCAGGGAGCCAGGGCCCTGTGGCATCTCCACATGTGGTTGATGGCTGGAGTGTCCCATGAAGGGAAGTGATGTGGTGTGATGGGAGAGCAGGGCTTTGGAGTCAGTCAGATCAGGGTCAGTGGCAGCTGCTTCTGGATGCGTCTTTGAGCAGTTCCCCATTTCACCACCCATACAACTGGCTAATGGTGGCCCCTCCTGAGGAGCTTGTAAGGAATGGACAGTGTACCCAGAGAAGCAGAGGCCGGGACCACCAGGGTTCCCCTTACCAGGTGTCTACCTGGCTGAAGAAACTCCATGAGCCTCAGCCGTCTGTTGGGGCAGGCCTGTCCCAGGTCTGTTTTGCATGCTCTCTCTGCAGACTACCTAAGGCTTTGCTTTGGCTTTTCCACAGCTTAGGAAAGCCCCACCTGCTCAGCCACCACAAGAGCACAGCAGCCGACTGTTTCTTCCCCGCCTCTGTCTTCCTCTATCAGTCATCGGTCCCCACAGCACACTGGGATATAGGCATCATTTTCCCCAAGACCTTCACTGGGTATATACTTCATTACTGGCAGTCAACACTGCTACCACCACCATAGAAATTACAGAGAGCTTTTATGGTCTTGACTTCATTCAGTCCACACCAACAGCTCAAGAAGTACAACACTCTGTTTTAACATAGTCTCCATTCTACAGATGGTGAAACTGAGGTCTCATCCCTGGAGTTGCTCTTCCCCTCCCTATGACCTCTGCTCACACACACCTGTGCACAACAGCAAAGGCCTGGGGAAGACTAGTAGAGGGGCAGCCAGGCTGGCTGTAGGCCCTGCTGTGGCCTCAAGGTCCGAGAGGAAAAACATTCTCCTCCTCACCCTCCACGTTCCCAAGAGAGATAGAGAAGATGCCAGAGATGGCCCACATTAGATGAGCTGTGGTAAACACAGGGAGACATCAATTAGGGGCTCCTGGGGAGTGAAAAGCCCAGGGGGTCTCAGCGGGCATTCTGACTGAGGAGGTGGGTCCTCAAGAAAGGAGCTGCCTGTATGGGAGGGCTGGTGGCGGGGTCCAGGACCTAGGCCCAGGAGTGGTCAGGTGATCACTCCAGCCTTCTCCTCAAGGGGCTCTCAGGGCATGGCCCCTTCCAGGTACCTAGTCCTTCATGGTCCATGGTAAACTCACAGTCCTACTGTTCTGAAGGAGGGCTGGCTTTGCTGTGCACATTTTCACATGAGGCTACTAGTTCAGAGAGATCTGATACCTCCCTGAGGTCACCCAGTAGCTCTCAGGAGAGACACTACCCCCCAACTGTTGTCTATGTAGAGATTTCATGCAGTTGATTGAGGCTGGGTATGTGTCAACTCTGTGGGCCAACCCAAGCATACGGTGGCTTTCTAGCCTTAACCATTCTCACCATAGCCTGTGCTTGTGTTGTTTCTGAAACACAAGGTGTCAATCTCCTGGCTGGTAACAAATCAACCGCAGGTCCCAAAAAGCTCTGTCCACGAAACCCTAGTTCTGATGCAATTACTGGGAAAGGATGCTCTGGGGGGCTCATGAACAGACGGTGTGCTGAAGGTTACTTAATACCACCCAGCTGTCTGGGGTGTTTTTTTCCCATGAGAAGACTATTGGGGTATCAGACATAAATATGGGGCATGTAGCAGCAGAAGGGGGCTTCAAAAAGTTTGTGAAAGATGGTATTAAAGGTAATGGTGTTTTTCCACAAACTTTTTGAAGCCCCTCAGAGATATATGTGGCTGAGGTGCCTGGCATCATGGCTCAGGGTTAAATCATTGTGAAAGCCAAGCCCCTCTGAGAAAGGTTTCCCAGGTGTCAGGTGTTGCATTCAGTGTGTTGGCTCATGTCATTCTCCTTTAATCTCCTAACAACAGTGGGGGGTGGGGGGTGGCTGCTGTTCCCATCTCTTCTGGATAGGTGAGGGAACTGAGTTCAGGGGGGGCTGCACTGTCCTGAGCCATGAACCTCACAGGTTAAAGAGGCCGGATTCTGGTTTAGGAGGGCAAGCTTGTCACCTCCACATGGGCTGCTCACTAGGTAACCAGAGGGGAGGACAGGCCCTGCGGAGACTGAGCAGAGGCCAAGGCAGCCAAAGCCCAGTGCCTCTCCCAGCCCCTGGCCTGCCACTCGACCCCATTTAGCAGCTGGCAAGTTTGGTTTCCTTCTCTGCCTGCCACCTCAGTTCTGAGAAATGATGGTCCATGGAAATGGCTGGGGGTGGGCCTGGGTGACAGAGAACGGGGGTGTATGGGTGTATCTGAAGGACTCTGATGACAGAGATGACAGGCTGTGAGCCACTGACATCCATGGCATCCTGTTGGGTCTCCCTGTGATGCTGGACTTTGGGGTCTCTTCTTGTCCCATCACTTCCTGGAAGGGCAAGGCCAGCAATTTCCTTAGCCCTGAGAATGCACATGTGTGAGCAGAGTGGATGTGGGGCAGAGCTCGGTGGCTAGGTTTCTGAAAGTCGCACGGCACAATGAAGAACTAGGAAAGATAGCTGACCTCTTCAAAATCGCAAGCCTGTGGACTGGAGGGAACAGGGCTGAGTTCAAAGCCAAGTGTGACAAACACACATGACCTTGAGCAAGTCAACTGGCCTCCCAGACTTCAGCTTCTTTTCCTGTACACAGGGATGTTGTTAAGTGCTGTCAACTTGGTTCTGACTCACAGCAACTCCCTACAGAATTTCCAAAGAGCAGCTGGTGGGTTTGAACTGCCAACCTTGCAGTTAGCAGTCCAATGTGCATCCTACAGCGCCACCCCAGGACTCCTCCTTGAAGGACTGTAAGGGGTCTGAGCAAGGCCAAGTATCAAAGTAACTGGTACAAAGAAGGTACTCGGCAAGAGTCTCTTTCAGCAACACAACTTGCAAGCCGTCTTGTTGGATTTGGACTCAAAAGTTGTTTAATCCCTCCTGGATCAGGTCTGCCTTGGATTTGCTTATTTTTCTCCCAAGTTTCCCATCAGGGCTGCTCTTACAAATCCAGAGCTCTATATCTCCCACAGCTTCTAAGATGCCTGGCTTTTGAATTAGGTCTTAAACTCAGGAAGGAAAAAGCACACTAAGGAAACCTACCAGGAGTGCTTGGGTTTCTCTCTAGTTTAGGCACAAAGCTGTCTGGCGATGAAGACCTAACTGCCTTGGAGGTTTACTCCTCATACAAACAGGTGAAGCTCAGGGGGCTGTGGGTTAGAATTGTGGGCCTGCATAGTGGCAGTTTCCTTTCCCTGCAATGGTTCCTGATTTCCCATGGCTGGAAACACATTTTGTGTCAGCAGTTAGAATGCCTTCTGTTTTTGTTCCTGCTGGGAAAGGGGAAGGGGAAGGTGAGGGCTGAGGGACCTTCAGGGAACTTCAGGGCGGTCGCTTTCTTGTGCCAGCTTCAGGAGGAGGCCAGGAGGCAGCGAGAGACCACTGAGTCACAAGCTGTCCTCTCAAGCCTGAGAGTCCTGGTACTGCTCAGCTGACCACTACATGCCTGGGAGTTGAGTGAGTGAGGACTTGTCAGGTGGTGAAGGCAGGGTGAACACACGGCTAATGGAGTGGAACCTGCTTCAGGCCCACTGGGCCATGGGGGCTGGGGACAATGCTGCAGGCCCGCAGAGTCAGGGAGGAGGTTCAGAAGCAACAGTGTCAGGGCTGTCTTGGGCTGGGTGACCAACTTGGCTTTATCCAGAAGGCTACAACATGGTGAGTTTAGTCACGTTCTAGTCAGAGAACTGAGGGATGTGGAGAGAGACACTTGGGTCTAAAGCCTGAATCCAAGACAGCAAGAGAACCTAGGGGGAAAGTGGGTGCAACAGTGTCTGGGACCTGACAGTCATAGCAACCCTTCCTTGAGCTTCCACACAGCCAAAGCTTTGCTGCTGAAGCTGCACTGAGAATCACCAGCAAGGCTGCCATGGAGGAAACGTGACCTTTTCCTATGGGGCCCATGGCATCAGCTCTTTACATTTTGATATGGCAGCATTTTGTGCACTTTCTTTTATTTGTTAAATGACACTTATAAAATTCTAATAAAAAGCTTGTTGAAAATAAATACATACACTGGGGAAATGAGAAAGCCAGGGAAGCATAACTGCTACCGGATGCCCAGTGCCCGACGCTGTCGACTCGCATGGCAGTCAGGAGGTCAGGACTCAGGTGCACGGGACTGAGCTGCGGCATGGGGCAGATGGCTGAGAGCCAAGTCCCTTGGGTTTGACAGAGTACAGAGTAACAGCATTACATACATATACATATATATGTTGTTAAGTGCTGTTGACTTGGTTACGACCCATAGCCACCCTGTATAGGGTTTCTGAGGAGCGCTGGTGAGTGCAAACCACTGACCTTGTGGTTCAAACCTACTTTACATCCAATGCATTAACCCACAGAGCCATGCCAGGACTCACTCACTCACACATTGTCTCTCTCTCTCTCTCTCTATATATATATATATATAAGTATATATATATAGATATTCACACACATATTTGTGTATATAATTGTTGTTGTTAAGTGCCACCGAGTTGGTTACAACCCATAGTGACCCTTTATAGGTTTTCTGAGGAGCGGCTAATGAGTTTGAACTACCGACCTTGTGGCTTTGCAGGCCAGCACATTAACCCACAGTGCTACACAGGACTACGTGTATATAATATACATGTATCTATTGCTTTTAGAACAATGGGGCTCTGGGGAGGGCTTATCTGGAATTAAAGTGACTTTTAGACAACACAGCTAGAACTAAATCCTGGCCTCATTACCATTCCTGTTTGGCAGCTCCCAAAGATGAATGTTAATTTTAAAGAGCAGCAGGTTGCTCTGGGCATGGCCAAGGGCAGCACAGCATCGGTTGCCCGAGCCCTGGAAGACAGGCCTTCCTGGGAATGCTGTGCTTAGGAAGACTACTGATGAGTCCCAGGAACTTACAGACAAGGCTCAGCACTGACCATACACAGGAGGCTCCCAAGCCCTGGAGCTCTTCCTAGGGCCATCCAGGTCCGAGGACTGGCTTGAGGTACCTTTCCTTAAGCAGTGACTGCTAAGTCTGAGACCACAATCTCACTATCCTGGTCTTTTGATAAAGGAAGTACAAGGGTGAGGCACTTAACAAGCACTCAGGAGGTGGAGGGATGGTTACTCACTGTTCGGCCACAATTGGGTCAAGAGAATTGGATTCTGTGGGTGTTTCAGGCAAGGAGGCGCCGTCCTCCTGGATCTGGCACAATTCCTCATCTGTGATGATGTCAAACATGGCGTCATCTGGTGGCCTGCAGCCTGAGTTTGCATGTGGGCCACACAGGGGATTAGGAGAGAAGAGACACACACTGTTATGCACGGGCTGGGAAGTGGCCGGGGGAAAGCAAGGGCACACAGCTATGCAGGGCAAGCCACCAGGACACAGGCTTATGCTCATTCCACTGACAGCTATTCTGTCCAGAAGTGACAGCAATGGTTGGGATAGTTCAGTAAAGCACAAGAGGAGACAGCAGATGAAACCAAATGAACAACGAGGGATTTCTCAACTTCTTACACATTCTCTGAAGGTTCTTTACTAAGAAGGAAAGAACCTACCAAAAAAGAAAACACAGTGGGTGCCCTGACTCCTTGTTCTGTCAGACACTCACAGTACTTCTTCATGCCTCTGTGAAAGTAGAGGTCTGTCAGACCTGCATTTCAGCCCAGATCACTGGTGGGTGTGAAAGAGCCTTCTTCTGCTCAAGGACTACTATCAATGCTCTGACCAGGGGACTTGCACCCAACTCTGCAGGCCACTCAGGAGGAGAACTAGGTACGTAGGTACTCCTGTGCAGTAGCCACCCACAAGCACCTTCTTCCATCTGTCATGGAAAACATGATGGCAGGTCTGAGGCAAACCAAACAAATGAAAGAAATGAGAAGGCAGGAAACGTCGGAAATCAAAACAAGTGACTTTGGCATGGTGCCACCCTCTGTCACTGCTGGAACAGCCATCCACGAGTGAGTCAGGGGCAAGGGTTCCTGGGCTGCTTAGTAAGAACAGCTCATGCTTGTAACAGTTACAAGCTGGCCCTGCTACATGCATACTGGGATAGGTCATGTTTTAGAAGGAATGCTTGTCTCCTTGATGTCTATATAATGCAGGGTCACGGGGTCGAACTCAGCCAGACTCCAGAGAACTTGCCTTCTGAGGCTGGCAGAGGGAAGAAAAAAGGAAAAGGAAGGAAGGGGAAGTGGGTTACAGGGATTTAAAATGCTCTCCACTGAGAAAAATCAAAGATGATGCAAATAAATGGAGAGACATACCATACTCATGGATTAAATGGCTTGGTACTGTTAAGTGGTGAATTCTCTCCAAACTTATCTAGAGATTCAATGCAATCACAATAAAAATCTGACCAAAATTTTTGTAGAAATTGACATGGTAGTGGTGGTTGTGTGCCCTGAAGTCATTTCCGATTCATAGTGACCCTGTATACAGTTTCTAAGGCTGTAAATCTTTATGGAGCAGAAAGTCTCAACTTTCTCTCATGGAGTATCTGGTTGGATTGAACTGCTCACCTTATGGTTAGCAGTCCAACTCCTAACTCATTACGCCAGCAGGGCTTCTTAGAAATTGACATGGTGGTGGTGGTGGTGTGCTGTTGATTCCTCCTCATAGTGACCCTGTATAGGGTTTATAAGGCTGAAAATCTTTAAGGAACAGAAAGCCTCATCTTCCTCCCAAGGAGTGGCTGGGAGATTTGGACTGCTGACCTTGAAGTTAGCAGCCTAACTCATAACCCACTATACCAGCAGGGCTCCGTAGACATTGACATACAGATTCTAAAATTTATATGGAAAGAGAAGAACCTAAAATACCCAAACTTTAAAAAAGAACAAAATTGGAGGCCTCACACCACCTGATTCAAAAATACTCTATCAAACCATGGCAATCACGAGTGTGGTGTTGGCAAAAGAGTAGGCACCTGGATATACAGGATGGAACAAAGTCCAGACATGAATGCACACATATAGTGTAAACTAATTTTTGATAAAAGTAAGTCATTGAGAAAAAATGCTTTTCAACCAATGGTGTTAGAATTAGACAATCATATGTCAAAAAAGGAATCTCTACTTATAACTTGTATCAAATACAAAAATGAACTCAAAATGTTCAAACACTTTAATATATAACCTAAAACTATAAAATTTCTAGGAGAAAATCTTAAGTCTTTGGGGTGAGCAAAGATAGATATAAGACCAAAAGAAAACAAAATATTGATCCATAGAGAAAAATAATGGTTAAGTTGGACTTCATCAAAATGATAAGCTTCTTTGGTTCATATAAAACATGTGCAAAACACCTATATGATAAAGAACTTGCATGCAGAATATATAAATAAATCTCAAAACTCAATAAGAAAAGGCAAATTTTAAAAATGGGCAAAAGATTTGAAGATACAGGTTGGCAAGCACACAATCCTGTGCCAAGAACAGCCTTCTCCCCAAGCAGTCTTTGTACCTGCTAAAAACAATTGGGTCTCTCAACTTTCTTCATGGTCCAGTTTAGCAAACCAGGAACTAACAGTGTTTCTAAAAGCTGGCTGGCTTGGGTCAGACAGAAGTCAAGGAGGAGTCTTCAGGGACCAATTTATGGAGGCAGAGATGAGACCCACTTCTACCCTTGCCATCTCAGCTCTGGCCCCCTGGACGTCTCTACAAATGAGTGAGCAGCCTGGACGGATCGGCCAGGCTGTGCTCAGAGCAGAAACAGCATGAACCAAATCCTGCTTCCTTTTACTGGGCCAAGTGGGAGGGCACACATAAGAGTAAGAGAGAACACCCTCCTTGGCCAGTTAGGAGAGCGTGTGAGCTGCAGGGAGAGAGTCACCAGCCACCATTCTTGGCTCTTGGTTCCTTTGGTGGAGAGGATTAGATACCAGAGCTGAGACTCAGGTAGAAGTATCTTCCAAAGTGGGGGGGTATGTTCCAGTGGCAGTACATGAGTTAAAAGGTACATTGACCTCACATTTAATAACATTGAAGCAGACTAGGAGAAAGTGACGCCTTTTCCAATTCTTTTTCAACCCTAACTTTATCAAAAAGAAAGTCTCAAGTTGGTGGTGACAGATAATTAGCCCCTCTTTAGTGCCTAAGTTTGGAAAACATTGAATTAAACTGATTAGCTACAAGGAGACGGGGAGATTGCCCCCAGAGTACACTACTGTAATGGGCAGGTGTCTGACCTTGGACTGTGGTGGCCTGGTGCCCAGCCTGGGCTGGTGCCAATGTGGAGCCGGGCTCTCCCTGGCTGTTGCCTGAGCTGGTGCTGTCAGGAGAGCCGGTGCCCTCACTGAGCTTCCGGAAGCAGGCACGGCAGCAGCGCTCCTTTCTGCCTTGTTTGGTCAGAGCATAGTTGTTGCAGCAGTAGTAGCAGAAGATGCGGCCACATATCCTGGGAATCAAACAAACACGGGGCATGAGGATGAAGCACTGTGGGTCTTGAGTGCTGTTACCAGAAGAGAGGTCTGTATTGGGCGCTGAACATCACAGAGCTCTCATCAGACCTAGCTTAGTCCCACTGTAGAGGGTGGCCTTTAGGCTCATTTAACAAGATTCCAATAAAGCCATTTTGGTAAAATTAGTAGTAAAATGTTCTGCTTCCTAAGGTTGTTGGCAAAAGGAAGAGGAAGTGTGACGTGCTACACAGTTCTTGCGGGTCCCCTCTGCCCCACTCGCGCTCTTTGTTAAACTCGCTCTAGTATACCCTCCTTTCAGAGCCCTTTGTGTCCTGCCAGGACCCTGACCAGTGTGGCCTTCTTATCAACTCCCAGAAAGTTGGCCAGAGTACCAACTGCTGACAGTTTCCAGAGCCTGTAGGGAATTCGGCAACCCCGAGAGCTCACCTGCAGTGATGCCGCCGAACCATCCAACTGAACTCTCGTTTGCAGTCGAGACAGTGGGTGGCTTCACTGTCTCCGAGCCACCTCTCCTCTGCACTCAGTTTCTGTTGAAATTCTAAGGCATCTGACTTCTGCCAGAGAGCATCCTTGTCCCTGGGCCAAACCACATTAGAAAGAAAGAAAAAAAATCCATGAAAACAATGGAACTATCCTTGATTCGTTTCCAAAGACGGATTTTAACATTCCCAACTCTTGGAAAACTCTTTTTTACCTTGGAAACACCTCCTACCTAGATTCCCTGTCTTCCCCCTCCACCCTCCCAACACACCCAGACTTGCAGTGTGCTCTCAACCTGAAAGCTCTTAGCTCATATGTGCTTTGATGAGTCTCTGCGGGGCCCAGTGAATACACAGGAGAAGCGCTGGATGTACCTAAAAGATTCTGTCAATTGCTGAGAGCTTCTACCAACGACAAGGATCACTAAAGGACAGTGCACATCTACCACTACGTTCACGTGGTTACAGGTCATCATGAAGTCTGTGCTGTAAGCCCGAGGACCACACCTGTGTCCCCTGGCCAGATCTTAAATGTGCTTGGGGTCCTTTATATTTTAAGGGTTTGTTCAAGTCAAAACAAATCATTGAAGAAGATGAGAAATCTGCCCTGATGTCAATCCTAGATGAAAGTAGTGTGAGGCTTTTCAGAAAGGTCTGGTAGGGTCTGAGTATGCCTGATGTACGAGGGGTGGTGCGTACAGACACTTCCTAGGGTTGCCAACCATCACCCGTGAGGCTTGTGGCTTCTGATGGAGAAAGGCTGAGTCCTTTCCCAGATGGAACTCTAGTTAGTCTGCCTGCCCTGAGGGTAGACGTGGTTTCTGAAGTACATCCACCACTGATGATGTAGCACCAGAGCCCCTTCGGTCCCAAGCAGAACAAAGTCATCTCTGGCCAACGACTAAAGCAACCACAGATCCGGCCCCTAAATAAAAAGAGGACATGGCTGCATTGGCCTTTTTAGGAACAGTTAGGGCTGTCAGGGAGCAGGAAGACTTACTCTCTGGACCAGCCTCATTCTCCCAGCCAGCTGATCCACAGCTCTGTCTCAGAAGGTCAGAGCTCCACATCCTGAGGATATGGGAATGCTCATAGCACTAGGGTTTTTCCCACACACCACAGAAGAGGGCTGAGCTCGGTGGTCACAGTGTCCTAAGTTCCAAGCTTGAGAAGTGATGACATGTAATCAGAGTTTCTAAACTTCCAGATTAGTTGGCATTTTCATGTCATCTCGGTGTGGCTCTGTAGGATAAGCGCTCAACCCTAAGGTCAGCTTGAACCACAAGGCTGGTGGTTCAAACTCAGCAGCCACTCCCAGAAAACCCTGTACAGGGTTGCTATGAGTCAGAACTGACTCAACGGCACTTAACAACAACAATGAATTAGTAAGGAGTCCTGACAACACAATGGTTAAACACTTGTTAAACTCCTGACTGTTAATCAGAAAGTCGATAGTTTAAACACACTCAGTGGCTCATGGGAGAAAAAAAACCTGGGGATGCGCTCCTATAAAGAGTACAGTCTAGGAGAGCCTCTATGGGCAGGTCTACTTTGTTATAAAGGGTAGCTATGAGTTGCAATTGGATCAATGGCACACAACAACACAAAGACTTGGGAGATCTCAGCACTACTTACCCATGGCTGCTAACACCCTAAAATGGGGGGTCAGCTAGGTGCCATGTGCCTCCCAAAGGAAAGCACTCATTAATTCTACAGTGTGTTCTTATCAAAATCTGCAAACGAAGTCTGAGCAAGCCTTTCGGGAAGTCGTGGATCTCAACCCTGGCTCGCAGATGCCTAGACCCCATCCTAGAAATTCTGATTTATTTTTAAAAAAGCTCCTCAAGATACTCTAATGTGCAGCCAGAGTTGAGAATCCGAATTTTAGCAATTTATAGGGAATACAAGGGATGGAAGACCATGTTAAATAACACTGTGGGAATGCAATCAGCAAAAATTTTAAAACATATGTATATATATATTTAATGACTTTCCAATATTTAAACTCCAGAATTCACATAGGAAAATCCGGATTTCCTTCTGTTTTGTGGGCCCAGTGCCTGGGTGGCATCAATTGGCAGGGGCAGGCTGTGATCATGTCCCCCAGTTCTCACTGTCCCTGTGGGACATCAACTGTCTGGTCCCTGTAGGCACTAGGGCTTGAGGGAAGGAGAAAGGGCTCATGAAGAGGGCGGGGAAGAGAATGGGGAAATTCCTCAAGATATTAGCTAACATTTACTGTCACTCTTATGTCTAAGCACAGAGACATTTTAGAAATAAGTACCTATCACATGAAAACACACACCCAGAGGAGCCCAAGGAATACACAGGGACTACCCTCCTGAGGCTGTGAATGACCTGCGTGGACCCTGAATGTGTGTGTGGGCCCTTAACAATGAACTGAGTGAGTGTAGAAAAGGGGGAGGGCATTGGGGGAGTGGGGAGGCTCACTTCCCTTGCAGCATCTTTTCAAGAGCAGTTGTGTTTTTTAAAGAAAAAACAAATGTGGCGGGAAGCCTGCAGCTACCCCTTTGGCCTAATACTCACCTGAGCAGCTCTATCAGCCGTTCTTCGAGGTACTTCTTGGTGTTGTTCAGGTCATCCAGGTCAGCAAGCATCTTCTGGTCGCTCTTCTCGCGGTTTGTCTCCTCCTCACAGAGTCTGTTGTAACACTCTTGGAATTTTGTGGTGGCGATTTCGAGATCCTTCTGGGTCCTGGTGGAAAGTGCTAACTTTTCTTGGTTGTTCCCCACTCTCAGCTCCTCCCAGTTCTCCAACAGGGTGTCCCACTGCCCTTCCCAGTGGGAACTACCTCCCCCACTCTCCCAGCTCACCACGTATAATGGGAACTCTGTGAATTCAGGTTGATGCCAGGTTACTAGGAGCACTGTCTGTCCTACTATACCACCACCTACGTGCGCTATGACTCTGGGAAAGCGACTTAATTCCTCTGAGCGTCATCTGATACATCTATAAAAGGAACTCAGAATACCTTCCTCAAAGCTACTGAGAGGATTAAATGGGCAAACATATAGGCAATATATTAAAGTTGTACCTGGCATATGCCAAGCATTATTTAAACGTTGGCTGTTATTATTACCAAAGAATCCTGGTGGCACAGTGATTAAAGCGCTTGGCTGCTAACCAAAAGGTCAATGGTTTGAACCTTGAAGCTGCTGTGCAGGAGAAAGCTGTGGCAGTCTGCTTCCAGAAAGAGTACAGCCTTGGAAACCCTATGGGGCAGTTCCACCCTGTCCCGGAGGCTTGCTATGTGTTGGAGTTGATGTGATAGCAGTGAGTTTGGTTTGCTGGGTTAGTATTATATTGTTATATCCCAATTTTTATTTTTCAGTTTTCTAAAGCATGACATTTGTCACTGAGCTGTAACATGCCCTCCCAGAGATAAGCACGCATCCCTTAGGGTAACGAGAGCTGCTGGAGGAAATGTGCCTGGCAGGCTGCCAGACTCTCCGTGGCATGCTTTCTTTGTTGTGGTTTTTCTTGCAAGAAGACTTCTGTACCCCGATCCCCATATGACTAACTTTCTAAATGACTGTGCACCAAATGCCCCCTTCCCTCAAGGCCGCATCAGCGGCAGTATGGGTGGATGGCATAACCAACCTTTCCAGGTTTGTGCGCAGGGCGACCCCCTCCTCATCCTTCTGCAGCAGGACTGCCTGGCACTCTGAGAGACGGGTCCTGGTGCTTCTCAGCTTCTCTCCCATGTCTGCTTGGGCGGCCTGGCACAGGGCACCAGAGGAGACACTTAGCTTGGAGAAGGCCTTGCGAAATGCCACAAAGTGACTTGTGTACTATCAGACGGGGCCACTTCTAAATGAAAGGGCTTTTTTTCTCAAAGTTCAAGAGGCCCAGAATATCCACAATATATTTGTGGGGGCGTGAAACACTCTTATTAGTGATTATAACCCTAAATCATCGATTGCAACTGGTTGTTTGGAGAGGGCAGCAAGTCTCAGACTGTTCAGGTGAAGGTGGGGGTGGGGAAGGGAGACAGAAGCAGCATTCACTGGCAAGAGTCAATGCTCTGTAACACTGCGCTCTCCTGCTCTGCTCAGCTTAGAATCAGTGACAGAGAACACGTAAAAGGATGGGGACAAGCAATATCCTTTACACAAGAAACAAGGGCTAGGGGAAAAACACACTGGGCAGAGCCAGCCAGGCAGCCAGGGAGTGGAAGGGGTCATCATCCAAATTCTGGGTGCATACAGAGCTGCTCAGATTACTGCTCCGGCTGGGGAGCAGGAAGTCTGGCAGGAAAGCCTTTTAAATGGTCCAGTACAAACCAAACGAGACATCCCCTCCCTGGCAGGTCCACTCACAGGCAGTGGAAGTGACTCGGCTGGCCAGGTGGCTCTCGGAAGAGTGCTCTCCTGGGCAGTACTCGGCCTACCTTCAGCTTCCCCACAGCCTCCTCAGAGGCCTGCAGCTTCTGGTCTCGCTCCTCCAGCTGGCCCCTGAGGCTTTTGCACTCTTCACTGGCAGCCTGGGAGGGCAAGAAAGGGATCATGAAAGTGGGATCCTTGCTCTGAGATTCCCACAGCCCCACCCTGCAAATGGGTACAAATATCAAGTGTTCTTTTATCTCCCCCCTTCAAACTGCTCTGTGCTCCTCCATAAATTATAGGCTTTATTGGTGATAAAAATCCTTCCAAACTTACTAAGAAGAAAGATAGCCTGTTCCCCAGACTTAGAACTTAATTTCTGCAGTGAAGCACATGGAGTGGCACAGGGTGGGTGGCCCATTTGTGGAAGCAAAGGAGAGTGCACTAAGAGAAAGGGTCAGGAGTGGTCTGCTGGGGTTTGAGACTGCACAGACCCAATGCCAGCAGACACATGACAAGCAAAGGAGGTCCAGGCCCCATGGCCATCTTGACTCTTCTTGGTTCTTAGCCTTTGGGGTGCTTTCTTTGTTCAGTATCAAAACTATGTGGCCACTGCTGATCTCATGAGTGCTTCCCATTCCAAGGGCCTTGTGAACATGAATGGAGTCAGTTCCCCACAACTGTGTCTGCTACCAGGATGCATGGTGGAGAGGTTGGTGATTCACTGGCTATGACCCCAGATGCAGGACTCTGGGTAATCCTGAACTGCTGGTACTCTGCAGTGGGTTCTACAGGCTGGGGCAGGGGTCTCTAAGTCTCCTGTCCAAAGGGGTAAGACAAGGACACAAATGAGCATAAAGGAAAACCTGGGTGAGGCATGTCTTCCTTACTCACTGGCTGCTGCCCCATGGGAATGGGGACCCAGGGATTTTAGATCTCCTGAGTCTTCATTAGAAGCCCCCAAAAGGAATTTATTTGTACAGCATCTGCTTTTGAAATGGTGGCTACTAAAAAGAAATTTGCGTGAATCAAACTTGTTTGTAATGAGTTTAGATTTCTGAGCTAAGACATCAGTTTCTAGCATCTGCTCTTGACATTATTCCTACAGGGAGAGCTGCTACTTCAAGTATGGCAGCAGGACAGGGCCAAGATGTGTTTGCCTGGGCCCACCCAGGACATTCTTGGGACCTGCCTCATGGCCCAAAGGTGTATTTTCTCAAGAGGCCTCCAGGCCTGGCCCCAGGAAAGTGTGTGGAGCCTGGATGGTTGAGCGAGGTTTACCTTCAGTCTGTTCTGGTAGTCCAGGATTTCTGTGCTCAGCTGGAACTTGAGGGTGTCCAGCTCTTGGTGTGTGGCCTCTTGGAGGCCCTGGGCCCGCTGCTCGGCCTGAGCCAGCTGGGCCTGCAGGTCAGTCAGTGAGCGGGCTGCCTCCTCAGCTGCCTTCAGCTTCTCCTGCAAGCTCTCTTTCTCCTGCTGCAGCCTGGCCACTTGTTGCTCCAGACCCTCTCGCTCCCTTGAGGTTGCCTCTTTGGTGTCCCGGAGCTCCTGGGTGGCACAGGCCAGGGCCCCCTCTACCTGCTCCTTCTCCGCGGTCAGTGTGCAGACTTGGATGCCGAGCTGGGCTGTGTCTGTGTTGGCCTGGTGCAGCTGCTCTTGTAGCTCGGCATGTGCCAGCTGGGCCTCCGTGGAGCCTTGCTTCACCTGGATCAGCTCTTCCTGCAAGGCCCGCAGCTCCTCCACCCTCTGCTGGGCCTCGCTGGTCCGCTCCTCCTGCAGGAGCCCTTCCCTCTCTGAGCACCGCAGAAGTTCTTGGACATGGGCCCGGTTGAGGGCTTCATTCTGTTCCTGCAGCTTCTGCACGAGAGCCTTGTGCTCCCTCAGAACTGTCTCAGCCACACCCAACTGGCTCTGCACCTTCTCCTGGTCACCCAAGGCTGCCTGAAGCTTGGCCTGGAGGTCCACCACCTCAGCCCTCAGGTGCTGAGCCTCCCCCTGATGAACCTCCAGCTGAACCTGAGACAGGGCCAGTTGGGACGCCAGCTCACTGGATGCATCGTCTTGGGTGGGGCTGAGCTCCTGCTGGCTTTTCTCGGCTGTGAAAGTCGGGATCAGCTGGGTCTGCTGGTGGCTCTGGCTCTGAAGATCCCTGAGCTCCCCGTCACGTGCCTCTGCCCGTAGACGGCACTGCTCCAACTCCTCCCGCAGTTGATGGCACTCCTCCTCCTTCCTCCGAAGGGCAGCATCCTTCTCGGCCACTCGGGCCTTCATGGTCTCCCTAGCCTTCCTCACTGCCAGGAGGCTAGCCTCCATGTGGTCGCCCATGAGCCGGATGCTGGCCTGCTCCGACTCCAGTGAGGTCAGCGAGCCCCGGATGGCCCCCTCTCGCTGCTGCAGGGCCTCATAGTCAGCCTGCAGGGCCTGCAGCTTGCCCTCTAGAAGCTGGTTGCGCTCAACAACATTCTGCAGCTCCTTCTCCAGCTCCGTGTTGGCCTGCTGGAGCTCTTCCTGCTTGTCCTTGGTATCACTGCTCTGCTCCTCCTCCGGCTTTTCACAGGCCTGTGGCAGCGGGGAAGACACGGGAGCCAGCGCCTCACTCCCTTCACCTGCTAGGGGCCACTCAGGGCCTGGCTGTCTAGCAAGCTGCTCCAGGGTCCCCACCTTCTGGCTGAGGTGGTCTTTGTCCCGAATGAGCTGCTGTTTCTGCTCCTCCAGGTGGCTCACATGCTGGCTCACCTGAGACAGCTGGGTCTCCAGGAGCTGTAGCTGCCTTGTCAGAGCCCGGGCCTCCTGCTCCAGCAGCTCCTTCTCCTCCCGCTGCTGCTGCCCCAGATGCCGCGCTTCTGCCAGTTCCTCCTCCAGGGAGCTCATGTGGGCCAGTGACTCCTGCAACTGGCACCGGAGCTGGGCTGCCTCCTGCCCCTTCCGGGCCAGCTCTTCCCGGAGTGGGACCATCTCCTCCAGCACATGCTCCAGGCCGGCCCGGGCCTCCTCCTTCAGCCGCAGCTCCTTGGTCAACTGCTCCAGCTGGGCACTCTGCTGCCTGTTGAGCTCCTGAAGCTTGGCGTTCTCACCATCTAGGGCTTCACGTGTCACCCCCAGCTCCTGACCCACCAAGACCAAGTCACTGGAGCTAGCTTCTTGCTGCTCCTTTATGCCCAGAGTCATAGCTACTTTTTCCTCAGGCCTACTCAGCCAGGCCGGGACACTGGCTAACTGCTGGTTCTGCCCACCGAGTGAGTCCCGTGTGGCCTGGAGCTCCTGCGTCAGAGGCTGCAGCACGGACTCCAGGTGCCGCAGGGCCGACTGGTAGTCCTCCTTCTCTGCTGCGCCCAGCTCCAGAGCCTGCAGGCACTTCTGGAGCTCCTTCACGGTGCTCTCGGTGGCCTGGGTGACCTCCCACTGCTTCTGGAGCTTGGTCACCAGGTTTGTGAGGCGGGCGTTCTCCTCAGCCGCAGCGCACCCCCGCTCCTTCTCCACACGCAGTTGCTCTCCATGCGCGCTGACAGCTGCCCTCAGCTCCTGGTTCTCTCGGTCCAGCTGCTGCATTTGCTCCTGCAGCTGCTTCTCCCGCACCTCCAACTGGTCCAGCTCCAGCCGCATCTCGTCAAATCCCTCCAGGGCTTCGTTGTTTAAGGGGCTGTTCAGGTCAAAGCTGGAGGCCATCTCCTGAGTCTGGGAGAAAAAACACACAAAACACGTGGTTTCAGATTAAATTCTACGACCAATTGAAAAAGCTGTAGAATTTAATGAAAGCAGAACCCAAAATATGGTCATTATATGACCCAAGGTTAGTCTAACAAGCTCGTATTCAAAGGACTCGAAAGTCTTTGCTCAAAGCGTCTGCCATAAGCAAGTGACCAGTACATCTCATAGACCCAGCGCCACATGTCTGCTCACAGTTGCATCAGCCATGCCAGCCTCCTTTAGCCTTATGAAGAGACTGGGTGTTGGCTCTAAGGTAAACTAAGTTATATGTAAAACTACTGTGTACCAAGGGCACTAGACCTACAACCCCTCTCAAGAGTAAACCACAAGAGGGTGAAATATATTAGTTGACTTTGTATTCTTAAGGCTTTTTTTTTCCCTCAAAATTTTATTGATTTTGTTGCTGTTGCACAGCAAAAAATACATCAATTCAACAGTTTAGTGACACTGATTACATTCTTCGAGTTATACAATGATGCTTACTCTTCTTTTCTGAGTTGTTCCTCTCTCAATTACAGAAACTTACTCATCACTGAGGTCCTATCTAACCTTTCGAGTTGCTTTTACCACTTGGATCCCATAGAGATACTTCTTAAAATAGCATAATGCTCGAGGCACTCCAGGCTTACTAGTTAAGCTAAACTATTACTCAGTTTAAAGATGATCTCTGGCCAATAGAATCAGGGGCTCTTCTACTCTCCATGACTCCAGAATGTCTAGAGTTCAGAAAAACTTGCATCTCTGTTTCACATTTTTGCCCTTTGGCCCAGGATGATTCTATGGAATCTCTGATCAAAATGCTCAGTAGTGGTAGCTGGGTACCATCCAGTTCTTTTGTTTTCATGGCAAAGGAGACAGTTGTTCATGGAGACGGTTAGCCACATGTTCTAGATCTTCCTATTCCTGACCTCCTACCTCTGCTGTTCCAGGTGAATAAAGACCATTTATGTCTTCATGATTTTTATACAGATCATTCTTAATTTTTATTATTTTACTATTCTGTCCCACAAAACTATATACAAGAACAAGCAAGATGGCAGATCAGGTGGAAGTGCAGTAAAGAGCTCCATCAGCAACAACACAGAATACAGGACCAAGCAGGCTTAGGGGATGGTCCCAGAACTCGGAACCAAGTATAAAGGAATATTTAGAAGGTTGGAAGGCTTACAACTGGGGGAATTTGTGGCAGAAGCAAGAAATGCAGTGCTTTCTAATTCAAGGCGCTCAGCTGCTCCAGAAGC